ATTCCAACGACAGCGGATCGGGAAGACGGACCTGTTCATAAAATCTATATTCATAACCACAACTTAATCAGAACAAAACATTATTAAATACCTGCGGAGTAATCAGACTGTAAACACTTCTTTGGATCAACACAAGATTTTACGCCAACGATTTCTTCATCCTCGTCCCCAATCACTGCTTGGTTACGATACGGCTCAAAGTATTCGTGTATCGAAAAATCGTTCAGAAGAGTAGCGTCACCAACTTGTTCATCATCATCTTCATCACTTCGTGGAATCCAGTCCTCATCTGTGATTAGCGGAGCTTCCTTCTTCTGATCTGTTCCCGCTGATTTTTCTGAACATAAATTAATACTATGTCCATGATCGCGATCATTAAATGAAGTACCTGAACGACTGGTGTCGCAAGAATCCGTGTTTCGCATTGGTTGACTTTTCTCTATTGTGTGAGCACTGGTGATTGAATGTTCCGGCTGAGCCACGGCTTGGACACTACCGGCAGAAGTATCGTGCATTGCATATCGTGGTTGGACTTTGTAACCAAAACTGCGAGCTAATGCCGGACTGGGTACCGTAACAGCACTGCTGTTTTTGTACGGACCTGTGTGAGAATGTGTAATAACATTCATGTCCAGATGTGCCAGAGGGCTACGAGCATAAGCTTGCTGGCTGCTGTTAACCGATTGATAAAATGTAATAGGCAATCTAGAAATGATTTTATTCACAGGAGCCAAATTTAGTGGAGCACAGTCATTCACTGGCATAGATGCAGTACGTTCGTTACGACTGACAGGAGCTAAGTCCAGTGGGGTATCGAGAACACTACACGTCTCATTGCTTCTGTACGACAAATCGAGTGGTGCTTCTTCTATGAAGGACTGGGAAAGGTCCAGAGCAGGAAATATCACTGGGTCTCCAAATTCTCTAATTGGAGTTGATGCAGCAATATTGGCGAAAGAGACACTCGTGTTCCGGGAACAATTTCCAGACGCCAGACAGCCTGTGAAATTCACTTCCTCATACTGCGCTACGGTTGGTGTTTCGCAAACAACACCGATATTGACATCAATGTCTTCCTTGAGGATAACTTCTGCCGCTTCTGGAATTGAATATTTTTAAATAATGCTACAATCTCGGCTACAATCATGAATTAAAAGAATATTTACCCAACAAAAGCTGTAATCCTCTGCTATGCTCACGATTGTTCTCCATCATAATAAACTGACCGGCGATTATCACGAACAATTAATTCGACTTGCAATTAATACGAAAAATAATGAAAGAAATACAACAATGAGAGAGAAAATATAAACAAAAACTTTTAACAAAAAGGCTTATCTCGTGAAAAGTTCCGATTCTAATTATACCCTTTTGCACTAAAAGGGACTAACTCAAAAATTGAGTAATATGAGTTAGGCCTTTTCTTTCAAAATAATTTATGTATGTTTTCATGTATTTTACGCATTTTTTTATTAATGGAAGCGTAAAATGCCCACGTCATCATGCGAAACACACAAAAAAAAGTTTGTTTACATTTTCGAGTTAGGCCCTTCTGACATGTTACTCCAGAAACGTGAAAGCGACTGAAAGGCATAACTCAATAGTAAGTTTAAAGAACTCAACCGCTGGGTAGTTTTGTCTTTCCTTTTTCAGTTCGAGTGAAAAATCATGAAATTTCGCCAGCAAAAAAGGTTGTGGTTTCAATTTGCCCTTTTCGTAATTCACAGTTCACGTGAAGAATCGATCAATTTACATCTTGGGTGAAGGGAAAATCTGGCCGATACGCTCTTTTTAGAAACATCGACTTTTCGCTTAAGGCCTGTATAGAGGTCGAAGTGAAAATCTGTTATAAAATACTCAATTTTTCACCAGCGTGAAAAATGTAATTGACAAAAAATTTACTGTGCTTGGAACTGTAAACAGATACGATCCCGTGAAATCGAATTTTGTGGAACAGATGTTTGTGGAACATTTTCCAGTTTCCTTTTTTCGCAGTTTACAGTTCATGTGAAACGAAATCGATCAGTTTACACCTCCGGTGAAGTGAAAATCTGACAGATACGCTCTTTCTTTGTACTTTGTACTTTGTACTTTGTACATCTATGCGGATTTGCTAGCGCTAGCTACCCTAATAAACAAATACATAAACTAACTGTATTCCGGATGAGTAAACTATCCCACAAATTGTTTGGATGTTACCCTGAACACGTCGTTAAGCTCTCTTTTATGGTTATTTTATTAGGGTAACTAACACGAATTTCAGTGATCATGGAATTTCGCTAGCGAAAAAGGTTGGATGTGAAAATCTGATAGATACGCTCTTTCTCGAAACGTTCACTTTTCACTTAGCTGCTGTTTTTCACGAGCAGCTGCATGCATAAAATAAGTAAACGTAAGCGAAAAAGATGTTATCCACAAACATCCGATTTCGCTGGATCGAATCTGTTTACATTTCCAAGTCAAATATTTGCGAATTGCGTTTTTCACGCTGGTGAAAAATGTAGTATTTTGTATGACATTTTCACTTCGCTTAGATCTATATACAGTTTCACGTGAACTGTGAACTGCGAAAAGAAAGATTTCCACAACCATTTGTCCACAACCATTCGTCCACAACCTTTTTTCCTAGCGAAATTTCATGACTTCCACTTGCTTCCGATTTCACTTCACTTTGAACTGTATTAGCTGCTATATGCTTTTCACGAGCAGCTGCATGCGTGAAAAAGTAAACGAAGTGAAAAATATGCGATCCACAATATTAGATTTCGCTGTATTGTATCTGTTAACAGTTCCAAGTCTGGTTCCAAGCGAAGTGAAAGTTTTGTCAATTACATTTTCAAGCTGCACAGAGGGTTACTAGGACTACTGGCAAACATTATTTACTGCTGTTTTGAGTGATATTAGGCATGTTAAAAGTAGGTATTACTGATTTTGAGTCAAATTGGACTAAACAAGCTAAAACATTAAAATATTGGGACTATTACCCATCATCTAGTTGGCATTGAATACAAGGAAGTCATTTCCTGAGAAATATTGACCAATGATCATTTTGTTTACGTCTGGTATGAGCTGTTACTAAATAGTAGTTTTTTGAAAAAAAATATAGCGCTGAATAACATCAGTGTTTAAAGATCATTTAACGTATTTGAATCGTGGTCACATTGTGCAGCATATACAACAAAAATAAAACCACATAGAAAACCTCAAAATATGTTTTTTTCTTACTTTGGCCAGCTTTTTGTTCTAGGTACTTCTCTATGCGCTGGTGAAAAATCGGGTATTTTATGTAAGATTTTCACTTGGCTGCGATCTATATACAAGCCTTTGTGGACCATTTTTCAATTTCTTAATTACAAGAGCCACATATGAAAAGGGCATACAAGCTTTTTGTAAACAAACCTTTGTAGGCCCTCTTCTCGCCAACCGAGGGTAGCCCACACAAACTAATAACATCATCGGGAAGGGAAAAGCTTCCCTATCCGGTGATGTTGATGGTTTGCGTTGGTGTCATATGGGTGACGAGAAAAGGGCATAAGAAGGTTTGTTACAAAAAGCTTGTATGCCCTTTTCACATGTTGTTCTTGATTTCGCAGTTTACAGTTCACGCGAAACGAAATCGATCACTTTACACCTCCGGTGAAGTGGAAACTGATCCAAACCGACAAATACGCTCTTTATCGAAACGTCAAGTTTTCGCTTAGCTGCTAGAGTGGGTGAGCCAGTAGTGGAGGAACTAAGATGATTTATTTATTAAAAAAATTAATTAACGATGTAAGTACAATTTTTATATGTCAAACTGTAGCTTTCAATCTGTATTTTGCTGAAAAAATATTACATCGTAATTAAATTGTATACATTTTTCGAAAACTCGTGCTCCATTAACTTTTCCAGTAGTAGTGGTAGTTACTAACTTTGGTTGCTATAATAGTGGAATGCATTGGTTTCTTATGAGTTCCAGTATTATGGGAACACTACCGCAACTATAGGTGCAAAGAAGTCAAAATCTTCAGGAAAATAAATTGTTTTAAGTCATTTTTGGGCTAATTTTAAGTTTGAAAAATGCAAATCTGCTTTATTTTAGGAGAGCTATTGATGAAAAATAACCTTATCTGGTTTTCAATCATTGTTCTGACACAACCCTCATACCGCAACTATAGGTACAAAGTAAACGTAAGCGAAATAAAAAGTGATCTACAACATCCGATTTCCCTGGATCGTATCTGTTTACAGTTGCAAGTGAAATCATTTTTTTTACATTTAATTTTTTTATATGTAAAATTTAGAATTTTGTATGAAACCTTTTCTGAAAAGTCCCACTGTACGCGATGGATTTAATGGTTCAGACTTGTGATATCAGTGAGCTGAGCAGAGATGAGCTGAGATTCGTAAAAAAAAAACCGCCGGTCATCAGCTCACTTTAGTGAATCGGGTCTTTAGAACAACTCGGGAGCAAATTGCCCATCTCAAGTTGGTGATCAATTTATTTTAATTAACCGGTCACGTTCTACTTTCTTATTTTAAGGAAACTCATGCAATTTTTATCAGAATTGATTTTGTTCTGAAACATATAAAAATTTAAATTCTGTATCAGTGTGGTTAGCAATTCATTTAAAATCAAAACCGAAATTTGTTCATAAGCTATCCTCTACCATCGCATGGTTCGAATGTCATCGAAATGATGTACACGTTTTAGAATGTTTCACGAATTTGTCACTAAATTTGGGATAAATATGATCAAGATTTACAAATATCTTCGTGTAATTTTGTGCATAAAAGACAAAACGTTAATTCAATTCCATTCTTAGAATGTACGGTCTCTTGTTTGTAAGTAACCGCGTATTTATTATAATTTGTTAATAATCAAACCCAAAAAGTTTTACTTAGCTGCTTAAGTTAATAATAAAACGAAAACTAGAAACAAACAGTTTTCAAGATATGAATAACACAAAAAAAGAAAGAAATCCAAACAGTATGTTTTCTTAAATAAGCAACTTTCCTACCTTGTACAATTGAACTCCTATTACCGCAAACATAAACTGTAGTAAGCAAGTTACTAGAACAATATTTCCGATTGTCTTAACTGCTACAATAACACATTGAACTACATGCTGAGAAACGAAAGGAAATTAAAATGAAATAACTAATTTCTTTTACCATGTAAGTCGTATTGTCCGTTTTTATATTAAAAAAAAACAATTCTGTAATACAGAATAAGTTAAAAGTTAATTACTCATGGCTGATGAACAATGATCGACCCCTGCACTTGATATAAAATGAATGATTATGACTTTATTTACAAACAAAAATTATCTTTATGATTCTGAAACTTACCTTCAAACCTTTAGCTCTATTGATGGCACGAAGTGGTCTCAAAACCCTCAAAACTCGAAGAATCTTAATTACAGATATGGCACCAGAACTGGCAATGGATAAAAACAAATTATATTATATTCTGGTAATGATTGAGATCATGTTGTACCTGAAAAACATGGATATCAGCGAAACGCATACAACCAGTAAATCTAGAAGATTGAAGGCTGATCGACAAAATGCACCATCGTGAAACAAAAACCCATAAGAAATCACTTTTAAAAGCAACTCAATAGTGAAAACTGTAGTGAAAAAATAATCGAAGTAATTTAAAATTTGATTGCGTTCAGAATTTGCATTCAAAGGGTCCTCTGCTGCCAGCATAGCAGATGAAAACATAATGCAGACCAATATTATGTTGCCAAATGTGCTGTGATTGCATAGCCAGTGACAAAAGACTCGGAATCTGAAATGAAAAAAATCACAATTAGTAGTGATGCTCAGGATTTGTCCAATAAACTTTTAAATGAAAATGATCTACAATTCTGTTTTCCTGATTCATAAGGGCTATACTAATTCCATCGATAAAAATACTACCAGTTTTTTTCACGAACGATGTTTGATGTTTGATTTGTTCTTCTGATTCTGACAAACAAAATAAAAAATAAAAAAACGCTTATGTTGCTAAAGTGTAGCTAATGCAACAAACTGTTTGTTTGGTTAGTAAGGCCCTTATGATTCTGAATCCTACAATTGTTTGAAGTTCAGATTTCGTTTTTTTCAATATCATTAATCGTTGTATCATTTTCAATAAATAAATTTGAACCAAGTGTAAGCAATAGTTTTAGGCAATGATTTTAGTATTTAGGAGGAAATGTTACTTCAAACTCTTAAACTTTCATATTTTTTTTTTCATTATGCACCTTATTCCTTATTATTATATTATGTTATTGCTTAAACCTAGGAACGAATCGATTTCTCTCTAAATTCTACATGCCGATGAGATTATACCTACACACAAACGGGGAATGTAAGATTCTCTTGCAGTTTTGTATAAAAAATCTAACTAAGACTTTAAGGAGTACACCACAATAGATCAAAGTAATGGTCGCGGTGGTATTATGTCCCCAACATGGAAAAAAAAAAAACCTTTTAAGGAATCACGTGAACATATTCTATAGTGTGTTCGTCGGAAGACATTTCCAATAATTGTATAAAATTAGTATTCGCTTATTTCATGAATTAAATACATTAACCCTAGACAATTATTCTTGAATGGGTTTGTATGAAACAATTAACTCTGAAAAAAGTTGTTTGTTCACTAAAGGCTGTTGTAAGAACTACCATTACAGTGCTCGTATGCAAAATCTATAGGAGATCATCTCAGGGATGTAAGAAAATCAAGATAACAGTTTTTGAAAATGCCGTTTGTTTTGCGTGTAAAATTTACTCGGTCAATCTGATATACACAATTGGATAGAAGTAGTGTAGATCCTGGGTTTAACATATATGTCAAATATTAGACCTGTTCACTTTTTTTCATTCTCAGAGTCAACGGACCACTCCAAAATTTGGATTGAAATCTCACATGTTTTCGAAGTGGTAATTTAGGGTAGATAAGTTCTTATGAAAAACCATCCTTGATGTATGACTCAGAGATCAACAGTTTAGGGTATCCCTAAAAAGCTATAAATATGCAGACAGCGTATCGATATTCTTGATTATTTTTAATCTTCAGATTAGTATCTTCTGAGAAACATACAGAAATACTAGAAAATTTTGCGGCTGTTGATTTTATAACTGATGTAAGAACTCAGCACTCACCAACTACCTACTCGGAGATCAAACATACAGCACCCGGTCGACTCAGGCAACAAGAGCAAGCTCCGGAACACCGAGGGTCGGCTAGCCACCGGGTAATCAGAGGGTTTCACGATACAAAAACGAAGACCTCTAGATTGATTTTAGAATAGGTCCTATCTCCATTTTTTGATCAAAGAATCGATTAACTTAATTCGGTTTCTACCGCAACCTGAGCGATGGATTTGTAATATCGACACATGCAATCAAAGGCTCAAACCTTGAACTGTTGAACATGTATCAATATTGCAAATCCATCGTTTAGATCGCGGTAGAAAGCAAATTTAGTCAATTGATTATTTTATCGACAAATGAGACAAATGAAGATAGGACCTATTCTAAAATCAATCGAGAACTTTCACTTTTCTTTGAATGCATTTATTCGTCACTTTCTGTATTATGTGCGTATTGTTCTGTGTTCATAATTTCGTGTAATATGTGTCGTGTAGCCTACTCGCGTTGTTCGCTGTACCGGTACATACCGCTGCTGGTGAATCGGGATGGCCAATACAGTGATTCCTGTCCTACTGTGCGGCCGAAACTCTCGATAGATTGGCGAAGCGAGCGGATGACGGGCCATGCGGGCGTTGCTGGACGGTGGGATGGCAAGCGTCGTCCTTCGTTAGTACGATCGGTCGACCGTGGCAAGGCCACCTTGGTCACACCGAGAAGGGAAAACTCCTTTGGGATTATGGCCTACGTTTGGCCAGATAATAGTGTTTGGTCCTTGACAATTAGGCTCGGAAACTGTTTCCAATTTCACGAGCCGGCCGTGTGCTGACGGCCGTATGCTGACGGATGACCTTCGGTTTATTTTTATATTTTTTGTTTAGGTTGAAATTTTGCAGAAACGTTCCTTATGACCGACAATGCCATTTTGCATCTTTTATCGACAAATGAGACAAATGAAGATAGGACCTATTCTAAAATCAATCGAGAACTTTCACTTTTCTTTGAATGCATTTATTCGTCACTTTCTGTATTATGTGCGTATTGTTCTGTGTTCATAATTTCGTGTAATATGTGTCGTGTAGCCTACTCGCGTTGTTCGCTGTACCGGTACATACCGCTGCTGGTGAATCGGGATGG